TACTCGCTTTGCTTTGTAACATTTTTGTGTTTTATTGACATATTTTAATTACACCGCATGCACATATAAATATTCTAGAATAACTATTGAAAAAACTGATAAAGTTTATCTACTCTTTTTTCGAAGTCATTTTGTCACAATTCACCCTAAACTGCGAGCAGTCTCTCTTTTTCTTTAGTTTTTTTTTTAATGTGTGGAGTGGACACAAGTGGAAGCATCAAGTAGCAAGTGTACACCCCTGCCGTCTGATAATGACCACCCATGGTGGTAGTGTAGTTAAAAGACTTTTGCCTTTTTTAATAGAGAGCTTTATAGATCCGAGGACTAGGATGACTATGAGGTCGACATTATGATTTTAAGTTTTCTCGCCTGTTCTCGACCGTCGATTAGAAAGGGCATGAAAAACTTATACCAAGGAAATTTTCTTTCATGTAGAAAGCCACGTTGTTGCAAAGGCAAAGAGTTCGAAAGCAAGTGAATTTAAATTCCCGTGAATTGAGGAATCGACGTGTAAAAAATTATAAGGGAAAACATCATTTTTAATGCCCAAATTTAATCTTGAATTATGTAAAACTTTAATTTTAAACTTCGCGTACATTCATTCCAAACGTAGAAAGTTAGGTATGTTCATCCTCTTTCAGAAATGTCAATTTATTTATCGAAACAAAGAAATTTCGCCACCAATTCGCCAATTTCCTTCATTTTCAATTTTTGGTCACGTGACATGTCACGTGACCATATTTAAACGTTAAGGCACACGAAAACCTCAAGATTTACTTTTGGAGGAGAGTTCAACTTGTTCTAGGTCTCCTAGCGGGAAATATAGCCAGTTATGCATAATATGCTCAGAACACATCTTTGACCCAGGCCTCAAGGTGGCCCGAGCCTATTTATCTGCCAATTGGTTATGTTTTTAAATCGCGTTTTTCGGCAGGAATAGTTTGACTGATTTCTATGACTTTTGGCATCCTTAATAAAGAATGGTCGAACTTTGAGAGAATGCTGTTTATTTTCTTATAGGTATAAAAACGTTTGAGATATCGGCATATGTTTAAAACAGCATTTTTACAAAAAAATTAATGTCAATAATTTCAAAACCCCTAAGACAGATTTTTCTCTAACTTCGGCAAATAAGCCTCAGAGCTCTCTAGTTTCATATCTGCAAGTTTGAAGTCAGTCGTGACCGTAGAACTCGCTGCACGAATAGGTGGTCAAATTTAACCTTAGATGCAACACTAACACAATTGTGAAAGTTGAAAAACAAATAGAGGACAACTGCCGACGCACTATCTCCTATCTGCAAGGGTATTCTTGCCCAAAGCTTCAGTTTCAAGAAATTAAGCAATCAGAAACATACGGCGAATACACTTCGTAATACAAGAAGAGCAACTTTATGCTGAATGCGGGGCAAGATTAAATAACTTCTATTTATCATAGTTACTGTGTATTTTCCCTTCTCTTTTCGCAAAAAATCTCAACAAAACGCGATTCAAAAAGTAACATAACCAACGCGCAAATAAATAAGCTCGGGCCACCTTTTTGCGAGTGATACACTGGGACTTGATTAAATATGAGCCCAGATGATTCGCATCAATCGCAACTGACAAGATCGTTAAGGTCAGATTGCAGGGCATTACAGTCTGTTATGGAATCGATGCTCTTGAGAATCTTCGTATCATCGGCGTAGCAGGCAACTCTCGCTCGATATCCATGACTTAACCTTCAACTATTCGTCACCAGTGCCGGATCCAGACCTTGAGATAAGGTGGGGGGTGGGGGTGGGGGGTCCAGACCCTTAGAAAAAGGGGGGTGTTTCGGGCCTCAGTTTGGTCTAAAAATAAGGGGGCGGGCCCCTCCCCTGGATCCGCCACTGGTCACGCATGTGTTTTTAACACTTTTTAACACGGGTACCTTTGTACTTGACTGTCACGCACTATGCTTACAGGACTTCATTTCCAGTAGAATCTACTAGTCTACAAATTGGAATAGTCTATTTATTTTTGTAGTAGTTTGAGCTATGTATTTTTATTTTTTATACTGACATCTTCGTTGATGTTTCCTTGGTGTCATAGATTCGCAAGATGTAGCTTCTTTGACTCATATTGCCTCTGATTGTGGAAGATTCCTTGAAATAACAGTATAATTACCTAGACATCATTGGAAATTTTCACTCTAGATTAACAATTATTGCGTTCTTTTAGTATTAATTTTTAGCAGCGTAGTATTCTTTTGATGTCTACGGCAAACAATAAAACACAAGGCATGAGAACGAAACGCCACAAAAGAAAAAGAAGAAAGGTGTTCACGGTGTGACATTTCTCTCATTCCTAACTATTCTCACTGCATACATAATTAGCCCGTGACGCAGTAAATAAGTAATCCTTTAAATTCCGTCGTGTTGGGCCTGCGCGCTGGTGACATGATGCATTTCGTCCCTTGGTTAGAATTGCTTAGTTTTTGCCCGCCTCTTGGCCAGAAGTTTCGCCCCTCCTACCTTGCTTGGTGGCAGGTTGACGTCACTTACCCTCATTATCATATTACACCCCTAGCAATGGCCACTTTCTTCTGTTCCCAGTGTGGCCGTTATGGAGAGGTTCGACTACGCAATAATTTTGTGTTCGTTCCAAATCGACTTCTAAGTCTGTTCGCTAGAGGGCCTGAAATGACCCGACCCCGCAAAAATCGGCCCTAAGGGAATGGGACACGCGAAGCTTTCTGGGAGTTCAGTCCATCATTTCGTCGTTTTTCGACATAGAGGGAACGCATTTCTCGATGAGGCGTTGGCGCTTGCCCCAACGGGGAGCCCAATAAAAAGTAGCTTTAATGCCCAAGCTGGCTGGCTCGAACAGTCCAGCGGTATGAGGCAAGTATACGTCTTTTTTTCTTTTCTGTTCATTGTATTAAGCGACTAGATTCCATATTGCGTGGGTCTGTTCAGGGAGTCAAAATCCAAAACAAATTTCCCAGGGGAGCATGCCCCCGGACCCCCCTAGAAGCTTGCTCTTCCGGCGCTCGTTTATGAAATCGGTCAGTGGTCGGTCAGTGATTCCCCCACCAATATAAGAGCTCTATAGGCTTACCCCAAATCCCGTTTTTAACTGAGATTTTATGGTTTAGGCCTTAAGAGCCAGGGGGGTCCTGCTGGGTTTCACAATCATGCGCAGAGAGAACGAACATCTGTATTTTGGCGGGACAACTCGATTGTGTGGGGCATGTCAAGTATCTGATAAGTACGCCATGTAGATGGAGTGTTTTGGATCCCATCCTCCGTCCTACCAATGTTTTTGAAAATGAAAACAAACAAACAAACAAAGACACACAAGATAGAAATTCTATTTTTAATTCCCTTATTAATTCATCCAAGAACACAGCATCCTTTCTATTGTAAAGGCCAACGTAGTTTACAACAACTTTTTCGACTTTTTTTAATGCACAGTAATGTTATACCAATTTTCACTGGTTCACGTTGTTCGTTAAACTTCGTACTCTACTATTTTCCCTGAGATAAATACTTCGAGCTTTTCTAATCACTCAAGCATCCCACCGCCACTTACAAATAAAACAATGAAAATCATTTCCAGCTTGATGGGTGACAAGGGGGAAGCTTTGCCGTTCAAGGCCGAACGCACTGCTAACTTCGAAGATGGATCGTAAGGTATGTACCGGGAAAGTAACTGATCCCGCCCTTACGAAACATTCATATAAAAATACTATAACTCAGACCTACCTACTGCAAACACGAGGTTAGCCAGCGTCAGATTCATTTTGCTAAACTCAGAGACCATGTAATTCCCTTTTTTATTAAATCAAACTGTCTCCCTCTACAGTCTTTGTGCTTTTAACAGCTAAGCTATTTAATGTCATGCACGACGTCCATGCCAAGACATTTCCTTGAAATCTCGATAACTTTGTCAAAATCCGTAAAAACATCACTATCATCCGCGAGTATCAACAAATAAAAGTTTCTCTATCAAATACTCCCGAATAGAAGAATATTGAGAAAATCGTCTCTCATTAGAATCAACGTGTCTAATTGGAATTTAATTCCACTTTCTGTTAAAAGTCTCAATAAATCTAATTTTCGTAAGAAATAAATCAATAAATGAAAGCGATACTCCCTAAGTCCTCGAAGCGACCACCCAAAATGCAAAATACAGGGAACTCTTCCGAGAAGAGGTCAAGATACATCTACTTGATGGTAAATAATTTAATGCCTGTAATTTCGAAGTTATGATATGTGTCGTTAAAAGTTCTTCGTATACTCTAAGTAACACAGGACATAGAGCCAACATAGAGATCATGCTGGAAGTGGTCGCTTACAAGCGGTTAAAAACAGTAGAAAATCATAAAACCGTCAGCCCCAAAAAGTGGTCCCGGTCCGAAACAGGAGGAGGTCGTTTGCTTGAGGTTCCAACTGTAAGGCTTTGACTGGGAACATTTTGGTGTTTTGGATAGGTGGTCGCTTATGGTACTGAGGTGGTCGCTTATAATTACGAGAGGCGGTCCGCGCACATGGAGGTTCCACTGAATGTCAGTCAATTGACAGAGCATTTTATGAAGTTAACGTGAAAATATGTTGTGTTTACCTCAGTTGTATTTCAATTCAATTACTGTCCCTAAAATTTAGTGTAACTATTCAAAAATATTTCATCGTATCTTTCTGCTCGTAATTCTAATTTTTTTTTGGCAGTATTTGTTATTGCCTTTGTCTAGTACCTTGATTAGCTTAGTAGCTGTTTGCGAGGCATCCAATATCTTCATTTTTTATTCTCGTTGATAAAAATATATTAATGTTGTCGTTAAGAAAATAAAGAACTTGTTTTCATTTTAACTGAACTATATACTGGTTGGTGTATAACAACGTGAAACGTGGATGTTTCATAAATAAAGTTTTTACAAATGATAACAATAATAATAATAATAATAATAATAATAATAATAATCATAATCATAATAATAATAATAAGGATAATAATAGATCTAAGGTTTTTGCTAAGCTT